CCTGGAGTTGGTCTGCTGTGAGTCTCCAGCAAAGGCATAGGCTGCAGCCCCTGCTACAGTGGGGTGCCATGGGCTACCGTGTGTGTAGCCAGCAGCCAGTGTGAGTGGCCAGCAGCCTCAGTGAGCGGCCATCCAGAAGCCAGCGACTGATGTGCCTCGCCCGGGAAGAGCACAATGATGGTGCCAACTTGAGCCAGTGAAACAACGTCCTCCACAACTAGACTGAAGAACAAAAGGACGGCAACTTGTCTGTTCCCATCCCCCAATTCCGCAATAAAAATCTTAAAAAAAAGTTTACATTAAAATAAAAGGCTGCAAAATCATCAGGTTGCCTAACTTAACTGTAATTCCCCAGCCATTTTTAATCAAGGCTGCTAGAAACGTATGCAGCAGGAAGGACAGATTTGGGAATACCATGTCATGTACCCTGGTAACTCCAGTTCTGACCCTGGTGAATCCTGTTATGTATGTAAGCATGATTTAAACATCCAGGAGGTTGATGGCTATATTTTATAGTGCATTATTACATAGATTGTAATTTGTAATATAGGGCCTTCATCTCTGGACATACCCACAGCATGTTGTTTGCACTCTTATCAAGTGCTTCCTTTGTTCTGCTTTGTAGAACAGTGGTCTGTGCAATTGTCTTCTTTCAACAAAACTGTAGTCTTCTTGAGTGCAGAAGACGCTGTATTTTGTTTCCTATAGTCCTTCTGTTCTCAGCACAGACCCTTAATATGATAGGATCGAATCTCAATTAATGCTTGTTTCATGTTGGGGGTGGGGAGTGCTTACATTTTTTGCTGATTTATTTTTATTTGTGGATTTTAATTAAAAGTGAATGGGGAGGTTTGAATGCTCCCCATTTTTTTTTCAAAAATATATACATCTAGGGAGGAAGCATGAGGAGGAATTACTGGGGGTGCTGGGCACATCCTAGCTCTTGATCTGGGTAGTAGTTATACAAGTCTGCTCATTTTGCTATAATTCGCCAATCAGTGCACTTATTATTTGTGTACTTTATATGTTGTATGTCAATTACAACATAATCTACATGATATAATACATAGTTTGAGCTTGATAAGACACTATGTTGATGTGAGTTTGTAGCAATAGTCACACTCCTGTATTACTCATGGGAGTATAAATTAATATACTCTCCTTAGGAGGAAATTTGGGCAAATTATCAACATGAAAAGGCATTTACCCTCTGGCTGAGCAATGGCTAGTCTAGAAACGTATTCTACAGTCTATTATAACATGTGCAAACTGTTACATATTTAAAATCATTCACTGAAGTGCTGTGCCTCATAATAACATTGGAAATAACAGGAGAAAGGACAAATTGTTGTATTCACACAATGGAACATTACTCAGCAGTTAGTAAGAGGGAGGCAGATCTGTACCTGCTGATTTGGAAGGATCTGCAGTTAAAAGGCGTGCACAAGAAGCTCCTGTTTGTGTTAAATATATGTGTATATATTTGCTTGTGTGTTCCTAGAATATCTCTAGAAGGATACACAAGAAACTGATAGCAGCGGTTGCTTCTGAGCGAGGAAGGGGTAAAACTCATTTTTCACTATACACTCTACCTGAGGTATATTTCAAATATTATATGTACATATAACCTACTCAAAAAATAAACCTAAAGCTAATTCCTTGCTGCGTTCTTTTTCTCATTTTCATTTAGGAACTTTGTAAACATTCTATAATTGGTAAGTTTGCCTTTACTTTTTTCTAACAGCCTCCAAATCCATTCCATGGACCAAAGGTCAGACTCTTCGTCCATGATATTGAGCCAAGCAGGCAGGTCACTCTTCTGCTTGTGACCTTATTAATTGAGTTTAGACCTCCAGTGAATTTGAACAGATTTTTTAAAATGAAACATTCAAAACCTCTTTGCTCTCTTTGGTTCCCCTCCTCGCAGAAGGCAGGACAGTGAAAGGCAAGCGATCCATTTGTCGTTTATCAGATTTACAAGTGCCATATGCAGGTTGTCAAACTGGAAGAAGAGGGGACCTTGGGGGATGTGATTTGACTAGCAAAGGAAAGGAACAAGTTCAGTCTAACGTGTGCCCTATATTTGTAACAAGCAGCTCTCAAGAAGTAAGGTCTTATCTCAATGGCCTAAGGATCCAGAGCTTTTGGAGGCACTCGAACGGTAAAAGGTAACAGTATGATCAGAGGTAATCCTGCAAGGAAGAAACAAGAGCGGCCTCTGAAGAAACCAAGCCAGCTTCCAGATCGCCTATGGCCATCTGCAAAAGGTGCAAGGGAGGCCCTCAGGGCCAGGTTTGAGGAGCTCGCAGGGGCTAACTGTTGAGGCTAAAACTCAGGCTTGCAAAATTTGCAGAGGACAGTTTGTACAAGGTCTTTTAAAAAGTACATTCAGAGAAAAAGAGATGGCTTGTAGTAGATGTGCTATTTCATCATATGATAAAGAGAAAGCAAAATCTGGAACTTAGTGACTTCATCCAGCATATATTTTTCATGCTATAGTTTACTAACATACAAATATACAGAAGGTGCCAAAAAACGTATACACATTTTAAGAAAGGAAAAACTATATTAAAATTGTAATATATACCGATAACAAAAGATGAATTCAAGTCATGTTTGACTTCTGCAATGACAAGAGGTGCTCAAGGTGGTTACCATCAGCGTCCAGACACTTCTGATGATGGCGAGCTACTGCCTGAGCACTGTTGACCAAAGCACCCACTTGTATCCATTTTTTGGCACCCCCAGTACCATAAGCAGGGCCTGAGATGAAGCGCCCAGATGTCCTGCTTCTCCATCTGTTGCTGTGTCTACTCTCCACCCGGCTCCTTAAAGCCTGGACTCCGTATTCAATCAAAAGTCTGTCTCTTGACTAGATGAGAGAACAAAAGGACAGCAACTTGTCTGTTCCCCTCCCTCAATTCCCCAATAAAATGTTGTGGTTTTTTTTTTTTAAAAGTCTGTCTCTTGGGAGTTTGCATGAACTTGGGCAAGTTATTTAACCTTTTCAAGCTTCAGTGTCATCATCTGTTAAACGGGAATAATACTAATAACAGTACCCACCTGGTATGGTTGTTATTGGGATTATAAAACGCTTCAAAGAGGGTAGGGTATGTAGTCAGTGTTATATAAATCTAGCCATAATATTAATGGTTATTATTACTTCTAATTTCTAGATCAGGGAGAATCACTTTTAAGAGTGCAAGACCAGAACCAACATGGGAGGTATCTTCATGGTAACACTTGCTTGGTTGTGGGTGCCACCTTAGTTGTGATATAAGGAATCACTTTCTCATGAAAAGAGCTTCCAACAACTTCTGAGCTCAGCAGGCACATGACCTGCCAAGGATGCTGAAAGCAGATTCCTGCCTGGCATGGAGGCAGGGCCTCGATGACCTCTTGGGGCGCTGATAATCCTTGGGGTCTGTGCTTCTGCTGCCTCTGAGGTTAGCAGCCCTGGGGGCAGTCACACCACCTGGTTTCCAGACAGGGCTATGTTATCACCATGGAGGTGAAAAGCACGGTCTGTCTCCACTTTTCTGCTCCAGATCCGTGTGAAAGGACAAGCTCTGGTGTCACAGCTAAGACTTCCAAATACTCAAGTTGGAGGGGACTTTGAATTTATTTATGGACAGTTGCACATCTGAGAATGCCAACTTAAGAAAACATATCCTCAGCTCTGCTAACCAACAAAATCGGGCTTATTACAAACTCTTTGGCCAAAGGATGCTTCATTCAGGGGAAACACATCAGTCAACATTTTCCCCTCTGGTTCCCCCAAACCTAGATTAACAGTGAGGGGCCAGGACGCCCATCTAGCCCTAGCTGTGCTGCATGTTCGGTTGGGCGAGCGTGCGGTCCTCTCGGCCAGCGACCGCTGTCTTCCTTTGGAAGCACTTCCTAGGGCCTTGATCTTTTCCCAGGAACTGGCGAGGCTGCGTGGCCCTCTTGGTTTATTCCCTCTTCGTGTATTTCTTATATCTGCGTTCTCTTCTCCCTGGATTGGAGCTCAGCACGGCAGCGTGCAGAGCGACTTGAGTCTTGGGATCTCCCCTCTCGTAGGGAAACGGCAAAAGGACACATTTTACTGAGTCCTCGGGGAAGCAAATCCCGCGGAGAAAGGGTATTTACGGGCCAGTAAGCCGGCCCGGAAACTCTGATCCCGGGATCCGTGGCCAAGGACCCCGCGCCGGCCTCCAGCCCCTGCCCCGGCGGCGGGCGGACCTTCCCACGCAGACTTCGTCCGCCAGGGGGCTCGAGCGCCCGTTCCTTTCCCCGACGCCAGGTTTAACCGGAGTTGCCTCTGCTCCCCTGGCGGGTCTCCAATTGCCCTCCTCTGCCGCGAGGGGACCCTGCCCCGGGCCTTAATCTCTGCCGGGCGTTTTTCCGTCTGAGTGGCAGGGCTCTCCATCTGCGCCTCTTAAATCCCTGATCTTCTCAGCGCCCTAACGGGCCGGCCCCGCCCCCCTTTCCTCTTTCCTTCCCCCACTTGGAAACCACAGACCCTCTGCTTCCTCCTCCCATTCCCTCCAAGTGCGCTTGGCCGACCAGAATCATCTTTGGAGGTGTTGGGGAAAGTCCCCAGGCTGGTTGGAAGCGTCCTAGGGGGTCCGCGGCAGGAGGAGGGCTCAACCTGGGAGGGAGAGGCGCCGCAAGAATTCAGGGTCAGGACCGTAGTAGCCTAGGGACCTGGACTCGAAATCACCTAACTCCTCGCCTGCGTCTCTAGTGGTTGAAGTTGGCCCCCTAGCCCCCCCCCCCCCCCCATTTTAGGTCACCAGCGGGGAGGGCTGAGCTGGGGGTCGTTAAGGGAGCGATTGGCGGGCTGTCTGCCCCAGAGATGTTGGAAGAGTCAATTGTCTCAGGGCCTGCCCCTCTCGCTTCTACCTGATTGTAATTCCATCCCCGGGCGGGTCGAGCCTCCCTCCTTCCACCGCCAGCCGGTCCCTCCCCGTCGGCCTCCTTCGCCGCCCCCGCCCGAAAAGCCCTGCCACTGGCAGCCGGCTTCACTCCCGCACGCCGACCTCCCGGCTGCTGTCCTGCCTCCTCAGACTCCTCAGTGGCTGCTAGTCCGGCTCCCCCAGCCCTCCACCGCCTCACCCCCGCCAGGGTATCGGCGGGCCCGCGTCCTCCAAGTCCCCCAGGAGACGCCCTGTGCGTCCGGGACTTGGTGAAACTTTGCAGACGCCCGCGGTGAAATGGATTTAATCCAAGGCATCTTGCTCCGGCTCTTGCTCCTGGCTTCCAGCTCCGGACCCTGCGTCGCGTCGTCGCTCGGAGCAGCTCTCCGAAAACAAGGTAAGGCGCTCAGTGCTCGGAGCGGGGCACCTCGCCGGGAGCGCCCGGGTCCCGGTCCCTGGTGAGGACGCTAAGCAGGCAACGCACCGCCTCTCTCTCCCCGGACCAGCGTCAGTTTTACTGGGTTCATTTCTGCCCAGAGCTGAGAAAAGACGAGAGCAACCCCCTCCTCCCCCGCCCACATGAGAGGCCAGGCAGTTCAAGGGATATTTGTTAAAAGAATGATCTATTTTCCAAGCACAGTAAAGGTGGAGGGCTCTGTATTTGATCACAGATTGCTAAGAGCTGGGACAGCGATCATGCTGTCTCAATTAGGGAGCACTGCAACTGTGCAGAGTCAAACAGCTCCTCCTGTGTCTCCAAACATCGTGTTGAATTCATATTGTCCAGAGCCCAGCCATTTGCTGTTAAGTGTCTGCAGATTTGCCTCGAGTCCCCTGTGCCCAACTCCGGTCCTGCCCACGCGCGGTGTAGGGATGTGGACTTGACTGTTACGATTCTCTCCCACGCTGGGGCCATTTTCTCAGAGAGGAGCGCGCAAAGGGTTAATTTTATCTTGTTTTGCACTCCTGCCTTTGCTCTGAGACTTAAACAAAAATGTGAGCGTTGTCAGCTATTAGAAAGCATTGGAGAGAACTTGAAGCACAATAACTTGCATTTCCTCTAGTTATACGGGTAAAAAAAAATCTTTGTGCACTTTTGTCTACTTTGATTTGGCCTGTGTTGTGAGATTATTCAAAGTAGAACATTCTAAATAATGAAGTTCTAACCATTGTTTTCCAAGCAACGATTTGTATTCTTCTTTGCTGACACTATATTTAGAATTCTGAAAAATCTGTTTTTTCTTAGTTTACTTTGTAAGCAAGGTTGTCTTATGGGATTAATTATATTGCATGAACAATGGGAAACGATATAACTTTATTTGAATGCAGTCTGCAGAACTTTGCAGAAAGTGCAGTTTGTCTTCACAATTAATGTTTTTATAAGAAAGAGACAAACCAGGGAAAATTTATCAGAGGGCAAGGAAAATGATCTTGGCAGGTTCCCATATGGCTGCTTAAATGCTTTTGCTGTTCAAGGATCTCTCCATTTGGAAATAAGACTTGTTTCCTTTCAGCTCTGGGAGACACCCTCACTCTTCAGGATGTGACTGTTATCACCTACACCTTGCTACCTGCCTTGATCGTTAGAACATTATCATAATCTGCAGCACACTTTAATTATGAGCTTTTTCTATTTCCACTGTTCAATTCATTTTGAAGATAATATAAGAAGTCCAAGGTAATATTATATTAAGTAGTTTTTCTTCTTACATGTGCACATACACACATCTACCAGGATTTCAATGAAGGGCTTCTTTCTAACTTTCCTCCCTGAGATAACCACATCATGATCAATTGCAGTCTGCCGGTTTAGTCACAATTTTGAACAATGCATAGTTATACCCGTAGTTCTTAAACATGAACCGTGTATGCAATGTTCTTTTAAGGATAGATTTGAATCCATTTAAGCAGAATTTTTTTACAAAGTATTCCACAAAAGCCTGCCTGCTGTATAAAACTGCTCATATTATTCACCATATTTCCTTTCTTATTTTTTTGTAGCGCCTCTCCTAGAAATATTTTCTACCTGGTTATCCAGTCTCATTCTGATGATGTTCATGCCATGAAAACGCCATGTTGGCCTCTTTCGTTTTATTTGAAGCATAGATGGGGTTTTGATAGTGGAAACTCAACCTTTTAAATATGTTGGCATATTAAATACATCAAATTTGAGGTAGAAGGAGTGTTTGGACTACGTTCAGCCTGGAAGAATTTTTCATTACTTTATAATTTTATCCAGACACTGCCTTTCAGGTTGGAAAGCTGCTCAGATTAAAATGACAGCTACTTTATAAACGTCAGGGGAAAATTTCCTCCTGGGCTCATTTACATCCTTTGGAAAGACTAGTTTTTGATCCGGAAAATTGGTCCAGATTAAAAACTGAATGTGCCTGCTTGTCTCTCATGTGAACAGCAACTGGCTAATTTATAATCTTCCCCAGACACCAGCAAATCCTGCTAGTATCCATATGGGAAATTCTTTGTACCTTGTTTCCTTAGTAGAAATTGGTTTGTGTGCAGCACTTTGAAGGTAAGGTGGCCACCTTGTGACCCCATCTGTCACCTCACACTACTAAATCTACTTTTGACAAATAGAGCTTTGTTGGAGAAGTCTTGGATTCAAAATCAACCTGAAAATCCCCCATACCCACCTACCCCTGGTGAGAAAAAAACCAAGTAGCAGCTTCAATTACAGAGTTTAATTTGGGGCTGACGTTGGCACCGTCCTTCCACCCCAAGATAGCTCCTCTTGTGTCACCGAGCAGTAATAAAGACACCTTTGTGTTTTCTGAGACCCACAAGAAATGACAGTTTTCAAGTTAAGTCAAATTAAATGATAATAACTAACACTAATTAAGTGCTTGCTACACTGCTCTAAGAATGTGGCACACACTGGTTTATTTGATCCACAGCTCTGTAAGATGGGTACTGGTATTATTCCTGTGTAGCTGAAAAGGAAACTGGCTTAGAAAGATTAAATGTCTCACCCAAGGCCACACAGCTAGTAAGTGGGGGAACTGGAATTCAGGCTCTGATGTTCAGGCCCAGAAACGGAGTCCTCAGCAGCCGGGAGCAGACATACAGCCTGTCTTGGAGGGCATCTGACTGAACAGGGATGCTCCGAGGGACAGAGCTGGGGGAGGCTGTTAGCCCTGCTGCTACGGGTGGGGAGCCTGTTAATGCTGTTAAACATTTGTACATGGGATTACACCCAGGCCTCCAAAGATAACGGAGTGTGAATGATACCAGTGTGACATTCTGGAAGCTACTGTCTCCTGATCTCATCTACAAGAAGTGGGGGTGTAACCTTACTCAGTATTGATGAACCACTTATTTCTTGTTGAACTCCTGAGGCTAAGGTGTGTGAGGAGTTAGAGTGTCCACTAGAGTACCTGGAGGTAGAAAAAGAGGCTTCTGAAGATGGGCAGGGTATAGGACACTGTCATCTCTCCAGGTCTTCATGACGTGGCAATGCCATTTGTTGGCTATCCTTCATTCTTTTTCAGATTTCAAATTAGAATCATAGACCTGGAAGGAAGCTGCCTCTACAACTGGGCTGAGGGGGAGGAAGAGGCTTGCCCACGCTAACAGCAGAAACCGAACTAGAACTAAAGTGGCCTCTGGCACTTGTCCCTTAGCCTGATCTCACCAGGAAGTACAGGAAGGACTGTCCTGCTTCTGATGTGGGGCAGAAAGAAGCAAAAGGGAAACCCAGACACTTGCGCTCAACCCGCACGCGTGAAGCCACATCCATGTCCATAGGCAGATTGGTAACTGACGATGTTAACTCTGGGCTGCAGGACTGCACGAGGCATCCTTCCTGCCTTTCCAGTTTGCCTGAGGTCAGGGTCAGTGGGACTAGCTCAGGTTAGGGTTCAGAGTTTAAGGCTTCCCCTGGAGGACCTGACACTCCATAGTCATCCTCAGAGAGACGCAGGGTTCCAGTATTTCCCTTTCCACTCCCTCAGCATTTCTCTACCTGTAAAAATGGGGAGATGAAGATCTAGAGAAACTCAGAGAAAAACCAAAAGCCTGGAAAGGCACAGGTAGCTCCTGGGTCATGTGCCTTGTTGGCTGATGGTGGGAGAATACATGCGCCTCTAGGAGGTTTCTGCTGCTGCTCGTGTGAGGCTCTATGGCTAAGGGGTCAAGGGTCAGGGGTCATCCTGTTGTCCTTCCCTGGCACCACCCTGAGCAACCTGGTATTCACCAGATACCGCTTACATCTTCACTTAGAGCTCTCGTCCAAGTCCCCTTCCCAAAGCATGTGATGTGAGGGCTCATCTCTTCTGGATGTCCCTCCCTCTCCCTTTTCCAACAAACCATGCTCCACCACAAGGCTAATCCAGATTGTCTTGCTTCTTGGGGAAGACTGGAGGTCACAAAGGCCCCAGGGATGTATCTCCCCAGCACCTCGCTCCCAGGGTCCTGTGCGGTTCAGCCACCAGTACAGAAATCATTTCCTCTGATCCTTCGTTCCACCAGCCCTCCTACTACTCTATTTGTCTCCCCATCACATCTAATCCCTGTAAAGAAGCCCTCCTCTCTCTCTCTCTCTCTCTCTCTCTCTCTCTCTCTCTCTCTCTCTCTCTCTCTCTCTCTCTCTCNCTCTCTCTCTTTCTCTTCTTTCTCTCTCTCTCTCTCTCTCTCTCTCTCTCTCTCTCTCTCTCTTCTTCTCTCTCTCTCTCTCTCCCTCTCCCTCCTTCCCTCACTCCCTCTTTTGATTCTCTATGAGATAAAGGGACAGAGAGGTCAAGGTCAGGGGTAAATGTAGTATAACATGAGGCAGTATTTGTTTCTCAGAATTCTTTCTCATGGAAGAGAGACTTGGCCAGAGAAGAACTGAGTGGTGTTTTTCTTTGTTTTTGTTTCTTACCCTGAGCCTACGGCTTCTATAACCTTAGAATTCTTTTGGGAGTAGTTGTCCATCTGTTCATGGGTTACTATAGCGCAAACATGGGCCAATGACCCAGAGCTAGATTTCTGGGAGACAGGGACCCAAGCGCCAGAGGCTAAGGTGGGACCTCGGCTTTCACAAGGGTACCCTGTGGATATTCTGTGTTCTCCTGTCTCACCCAGTTGCAAGCAGGACTGTAGTTTCTTCCAACTGACTAAATGAACGACATGATGTCTTAATTGCAACAGAAGATCTTTAGAGCTGGTCAAGACCGCTGCTACTTGTTGTAGTCACAGCATGTCAGATTGCAGGTACTGGAAGTACTCCTGCTATGTCAGGGATAGAAAAAGGAAAAAGGGGGGCGGGGGGAGATACTACAGTGTCTAAATGGCAGCTTGTAGGGGGTACCCCTCAAACCCATCTTTGATTCCATTGGTTGTGAACTTCCGTTTTGAAAAAGGACCCCATAGTGTGGCTTCAGCCTCATGAATGAGCTGGAA